CACTTATAAATATAGAAGTTAGGTTTATTTATACACAGGCACTTATAAATATAGAAGTTAGGTTGATTTATACACAACACTTACAAATATAGAAGTTTGTTGTTTTACAGTGGACAGTATAATCGACTTTACAGATGGAAAACTTTGACTGTCAAGTTTTGTTTATTTTAAGATCCCTCTCTGTCGAGAATTCCCTACTTCTGTACGATAGGATAAGAAATAAAAAAATGGTCTTGTCATATTGTGCTAGACGTATATAAGTAAGAACATGCTGTTTTCCTAATTGTATTCATTAATTTCTTTAGATCCTTACGTTAAGATCTGGTTACATCGAGGAGATAAACGAGTTGAGAAGAAAAAAACGCAAGTTCACAAGAAAACCTTAGATCCCATTTTCAATGAGACGTTTCAGTTCGTCGTTTCTTGGGAGAGAATTCGGGAAACGTCCCTGGTGGTAACTGTCATGGACTTTGACACCGTGGGCAGGAACGAGGCGATTGGAAAGGTCATTCTGTCTTCACGAAGTGGACCCACAGAAACAAAGCACTGGGGAGACATGCTGAGTAAACCCAGATCCCCCATCTCCCAGTGGCATAGGCTGAAGACTTTCTAGGTCCCCTGGCGAGCCACTTCGGAACCACCCTAGCTTGAACTTCTCGCGATATGAATAAATATGTTTATCTGGTTGTCCACTCCGATTTGTTTGGTCAATGAAACAGGACTGTATTTCTATAAATAGCAGACGTCACGTGAAGCTAGGCTTAGGGCAGTACAGTGTAGTCTTACTGATGTTCTTTCTATAGGTTTAACAGACCGATTTCCACCATCTTAATTAAAGTAACGTGTCACGTGCTGTTTTTGCTTAACTTTTCTCATTGGTCTCTACATTGTTAAGTGTAATGTATTCCACAAGGTGGCGCTAGAATGTCAAACTTTCAGTAAGAAGGAAGTTGGATTTGTAAGATTCTGGATTTTTACTTTTAATCCAAATAAGTGTTGTTTTCATTGTACGTGTGTAGTAACAGTAGCTGTCTATCAGTCTAGTCCGTAAATCAGAACTTTACGATACTGTAAAACAGGACTTTGAGGTGACACCTAGTTCTGTTAGAACAAGTGATAAAACAGACGTCTAGTTCATAACAAAAGCTTGTACCGTATCAACAAACTTTCCGAAATAAATGTCTCTCTTATTTAACTCTCCTCTTTAGACTTTAGAGTTTGAAAAAGTTCAATTGTCATGTAATCTGATACGTTTAACGTGGCCTAACACGACACGTGAGCTGACGTAATAACAAATCAAATCACGTTACTACCTAGATAACATGTCACTTTACTACATGGCACGTGAGGTGACGTGTATCAGATTACGTTACTACGTGACACGTGAGGTGACGTGATAACATGTCACTTTACTACATGGCACGTGAGGCGACGTGATAACGTGACACGTGAGGTGACGTGTATCAGATTACGTTACTACGTGACGCGTGAGGTGACGTGATAACATGTCACTTTACTACATGGCACGTGAGGTGACGAGATAACATGTCACTTTACTACATGGCACGTGAGGTGACGTGTATCAGATTACGTTACTACGTGACGCGTGAGGTGACGTGATAACATGTCACTTTACTACATGGCACGTGAGGTGACGTGTATCAGATTACGTTACTACGTGACGCGTGAGGTGACGTGATAACAT